CCTAGAAAATCCTAAGCAACTCAAGGACCCACGGAGAGAGTTGGGGATTTCGTTATTTACATATTTGAGTTTCCTCAAATTTTGTAAACATGATCATTTGATTTTATTTATTTTATCATCAATAATTTCTATTACAAAAATATGAGAGAGGGAATAAAATGACTTTCCCAAAATATAGAAATATTGAGGATTTAATAAAAAATCAAATAAGATTTATTTCGGAGTTTTTCGGTATTTTTAATTGAATTTAGGAAAAATGCGCTTTTTTCAAAGTTGTAGTTTGGGCCCAGCTAAATGTTACTTTATCGGGCTTGATTTTAGAAACCCGGGAAAATTTGTTTCGTGATTTTTGGAGTCCGTTTAGTATTTCTTTTTATTTTTCTTCCGAGCATAATTATTTAAAAAAAAGGAAAAAAACGAAACCGACTATGGGCCGTACCCGAGCGGGACTCCGCCCGGGGGCGCCTTTATATAGCGCCGCACCCGAGTCCCCAGCCCACACCAGCCCCGCGCCCGATCCGCCGCCGCCGCCGGAGCAGCGCGCCGCCCGAGGTTCGCCGCCGCCTCGACTTCCGTGCCGATTTTTTTTAAAAAAAATTCTCTCTACGTTTTTATTTTTCGAATTTCTTTTTGGATTAGGTTAATTACCGATCTATTCATCGTTTTTCTTTTTCGTTGGATTTTCCGCGGTTATTTTCTGATCGCGATTTCTGATCCGATTTTTGTTTTAGTATAATTTTTTGCTTGTTTATCGGAATCAGGCGATTCAAGCGCCTGGAGTTTTGTCTCGAAACCCTCTTTCCGAATAATCAACTTAAATATATTTTTGCTACTGTAAAATTTGACTTAGATCCAGATTACTAGAACGAAGTTGTTTTCTTTCGCCGTTTGACTTCTTTTGCTTCGTTCGATTTGATTCTTTTTGCAAACCAGGGTTCTTAAATTGAACTTTCTGGTTAGATCTTCTATTTGAGTTTTACCTGTGCATTAGATGAGTACTTATTGTATGCTTGTTTGTTTGTCTGCGATAGAATACCCGGAGTGCGCCGCCTGTTACTTTGAATCTCTAGGTTTCGCGGATCATCAGCAAGGCAAGTAACACTTTGATCATACCTTTTTCCACAACCCAGTTTTATTGCATTAGATCAATCTTCACACATTGCATGATTAGGATCTAATTAAATTGTGGGATGGGAAGTAGATGAGATAGTACCTATTACCTGTTTATTATCGAACCTTTGGGAGTTACTTCTACGTTTGCTTATTATGCCATGCTATGCTAGTAGACGTGGATTGGGTGAGTGATATCCATGACAGATGTGAGATTGATAATTAATTGTTTATTTAAGGTGGCAACCTAACACACATCTGGATGGATTGAGGCACCTGGGTATTCCAGGACTTGCCTGTTTTTATTTTGGACCGCCACCCAGGCTCAAAGGGATCATGAGATTATTCATACTAGAAACTTCCGAGTGCAGCCACAAGCCATTATGGGCTCTGGCATAGTTGAGTAAGTCGTGCGAACTCTTACAGGGTAGACTAGCAGATGTAGGGGAAAGTAGGTGTACCGGTCTATCCATCGTAAGGTGCTAGCGCTTCTGAAAGACTGTGTGTCGGTCATCCGTTTCTCAAACACCATGTAGTGCGAGAAATCCAACGGAGGCGATCGAGTCTTGTGGGGAAAAGTGTGCAAACCTCTGCAGAGTGTATAAACTAATCATAATTAGTCGTGTTCCCGGTTATGGACCTTGAGTATCTAGTACCTAGATTATCATGTGAATCTCAACATGTTACTCTAAAGTTAATTTTGTTGGGTTTTAATGATGTTACTTAATTGGGATTGAGAATGCTGTCGACCATTCTCAATGTTTAACAACCACCATGATAGTAATTAATTTATTCCTTTGAAGTAGGGAAAAATTGGCTTTACGCAAAAACTGTAACCATAGAGCTTTTCACCAGCAAAATATGCATATAGTATAGTTGTTTTATTCCATTACTCTCTATGTGTTACCTTGCCAGCATATTCCATGTGCTGACCCGTTTTCGGGCTGCAACGTTAATGTTGCAGACTCTTCAGACGACGATTAAGGAGTTTTTAGGTCGTGGTTCTATACTCAGTGATGCCGTTGGAGTTGATGGACTCACTTACCTTCCAAGCCTTCCGCTGTTATCGTTATTAGATGGCCTTAAGCCATATTTATTGTAATAAGCTCTCTTTTGAGACACTCGATGTAATAAGTGTGTGATTGCTACTCTGCTATAAATCCTCCGAGTACTGTGTGGTGTCAGCATTACTGATCCAGGGATGATACTGGAGCACAGAGATCAGACTGTTTGAGGTCTGGTCGCTACAGGTCTTGTTACAGAAAATTTCTGCAACAGTGATCTTGTTGCATAATTTTTTGTTGCTGAGGTTTTTTTGTAGATCTTTTTTGCAACAAAGTCCTTGTTGCAGATTTTTTTGCACAATGAAGACTTTGTTGCGGATTTTTTTCGTCTTCATTTTCTTTATAACAAAGCTGATGTTAGCCACATAGCTGATGTTAGCCACATAGCTGATGTTAGCCAGGAGCACGTCACGTGAGACACGTGTTATGCAAGCGAGGCGGCGAACGGAGCCAAGAAATCAGCTACTCGAGGGGAATCATTTCCCTTTTCAAATTAAAAAAGCAAAGAATGGGAATCATTTCCCTTTTCAAATTAAAAAACGCAAAGAATGAGGACGACTATTCTTAACTAAATATCACACAAAAGGGAAATCACATGGAAATCATGAAACGCCGCGTCTAGTATTAAGTTGTTGCTTCTTATTCCTTTTCATTTACGAAACTACTTCACAGCCAATACTTCATGGACGTTTCATGCACGATTGATGCTTAGGTGGCCGTGCTGCACTTCATTCAATAATTTGATGGCTGGATGTGTAGAATCGTGAGTGTCGTGTGTGTAGCAGCGTTGATTCATTTACGTTTTGGTTATTGCTTTGTAAAAAGTAATATAGCGATTTCTTTAATGGAAATAATAACTGAGAATGCTTTGTTAAATCAAAAGTACCAAGATTAGTGAGGACTATTTTTCGACATATGACATGACAGCGAATGCCCATGGAAAACAGGAAGCCCTCCATCATTGCAAGATAGGTCTTGTTATAGAAAATTTCTGCAACAGTGATCTTGTTGCATAATTTTTTGTAGCTGAGGTTTTGTTGTAGATCTTTTTTGCAACAAAGTCCTTGTTGCAGATTTTTTTTGTGCAATGAAGACTTTGTTGCGGATTTTTTTCGTCTTCATTTTCTTTATAACATAGCTAATGTTAGCCACATAGTTGATGTTAGCCAGGAGCACGTCACGTGAGACACGTGTTATGCGAGCGAGGTGGCGAACGAAGCCAAGAAATCAGCTAGTCGAGGGGAATCATTTCCCTTTTCAAATTAAAAAAAAGCAAGGAATGGGAATTATTTCCCTTTTCAAATTAAAAAAAGCAAAGAATGAGCATGATTATTCTTAACTAAATATCACATAAAAGGGAAATCACATGGAAATCATGAAACGCCGTGTCTAGTATTAAGTTGTTGCTTCTTATTCCTTTTCATTTACGAAACTACTTCACAGCCGATACTTCATGGACGTTTCATGCACGATTGATGCTTAGGTGCCCGTGCTGCACTTCATTCAATAATTTGATGGCTGGATGTGTAGAATCGTGAGTGTCATTTGTGTAGCAGCGTTGATTCATTTATGTTTTGGTTATTGCTTTGTAAAAAGTAATATAGCGATTTCTTTAATGGAAATAATAATTGAGAATGCTTTGTTAAATTAAAAATACCAAGATTAGTGAGGACTATTTTTCGACATATGACATGACAGGGAATGCCCATGGAAAACATGAAGCCCTCCATCATTGCAAGATAGGTCTTGTTACAGAAAATTTCTGCAACAGTGATCTTGCTGCATAATTTTTTGTAGCTGAGGTTTTGTTGTAGATCTTTTTTGCAACAAAGTCCTTGTTGCAGATTTTTTTTTGTGCAATGAAGACTTTGTTGCGGATTTTTTTCGTCTTCATTTTCTTTATAACATAGCTGATGTTAGCCACATAGCTGATGTTAGCCAGGAACACGTCACGTGAGACATGTGTTATGCGAGCGAGGCGGCGAACGGAGCCAAGAAATCAGCTAGTCGAGGGGAATCATTTCCCTTTTCAAATTAAAATAGTAAGGAATGGGAATTATTTCCCTTTTCAAATTAAAAAAAGAAAAGAATGAGCACGATTATTCTTAACTAAGTATCACATAAAAGGGAAATCACATGGAAATCATGAAACGCCACGTCTAGTATTAAGTTGTTGCTTCTTATTCCTTTTCATTTACGAAACTACTTCACAGCCGATACTTCATGGAAGTTTCATGCACGATTGATGCTTAGGTGCCCGTGCTACACTTCATTCAATAATTTGATGGCTGGATGTGTAGAATCGTGAGTGTCGTGTGTGTAGCAGCGTTGATTCATTTATGTTTTGGTTATTGCTTTGTAAAAAGTAATATAGCGATTTCTTTAATGGAAATAATAACTGAGAATGCTTTGTCAAATTAAAAATCCTAAATACTAGAAAGTGCACGCGCACTATCTGGCTTTCGCGAGCGGCCGCACGCTGGCCGCGCGATCTCCCCGAACGGTCGCGCGCATGGTGGCAGGTGATATCTGGTCGGGCGATTTCAATCGCTGGGATTTGTCGCTATCCACCCACGTCTTCGTCCCCAACTCAGCCCGCTCCTCCCTAACCGCCATGCCATGGAGGCGGTCGCCGTCATCTAAACCGACGCCCTCTTCTCCCCTCCCTCTGCCCTCCCCTCCTCTAACTCCTCGCGCCTCCGCTTCTCCGACCGCCCACGCGCTCGCCGCCTTCCACACCTTTTGTCGCTGCCATCCCCAAGCAGCGCTTCATGATCCCTCCACTCAGATCCCGCCGCTGGCCGTGGCGCTAGGGATGTCGCCGCGATGGTACGAGGAGCTAAACTTGGATCGCTGCTCCCTGGCCGAATCTGCACCCTGGCTCATCCATCTTGGTAAATTGATTGGTGTCTTCTTACTTGACAGGTTATCCCATTCCTGATGGAAATAGCGTTTGAGCAGCCGCCGCCGGATCTGGCCTCGTTCCTTTACAAGAACATTATCATGTACCTGGGGATGTGCCTTGTGTCGTTGGTCACGGAGATCATGCTTGCGGTTGCGAAGTTTCTCTACCTTCAGTACGAGGACGCGGACAAGCTCATCTACATGTACATCAAAACTCCACCGGCTACCAAGACCGGTGCTTCTGCTCCACCTATGGCTATGATTGTTGCTACACAAAGGAGTGTGTCTCCAAAACCTACTTCTAGACTTGATATAGTTAATGATTAGTTATGAAAACGCGCCTCAATTGAGTGTAGCCTGTGACGTGGATCTTTACCTGATTAGCATCCGCTCAACTTCCTTTACTAGTCGTTAGATGATTCAGATAGCATGAAGCTATGAATATTTTGATGAGAATGATCATAGAGAGGCCATGATTCAGGCTCTTACATTTCACCCACAGTTTGTTAAGTTCCCTCTTTTTCTTGTAGCAATTATTAGTAACAACTCAATAATCTCCATCGCACTATAGAATTTTGTTCTAATTTAGGTCTTCAGATTGTCCTAATATATTTATCTCCTTATCTAGAATGAGCTATTTTGTTTGTGGCGCGCTCTTAGAAACTAGATCCCGCATGGGTATGTTTCGATGAAAATTTTCTTGTGCAATTTACTTCCCGTTTTGTGCAACTGCGTAGCCGTCGATGTACAACTATCTCAGAGTCGTCGTGCAACTTTTCCCAACTCATGGACATGCAGTTTTTGGTGTGAACGCATTTACTTCGAGTTCTATTTTCCTAAAAAATGTCTTAACTTTTTAACCAAACATCGAAATTAAGATCTTCTTTCACTATTGGAATCATCATGACATGCTCATCGAAATTAGATCCCACATGAGTATGTTTCGACGACCTTTTTTTGTGCAATTTATTGCCCGTTTTGTGCAACTGCCTAGCAGTCAGTGTGCAACTACCGGAAAGTCAGTGTGCAACTTTTCCTCATACACGTGGGACTGCAGTTTTCATTGTTGAAGTTTTCACCCCAGACTATCCACTACCAGTGAGATGTGCAACTTCGTGTGCTGCACTTGCCAACTGCCTAGTAGCCGGTGTGCAATCTTTCTCTCTGCCCGCAGATGTGCAGTTTTCACTGTTTGCTGCCTTGGCCAACTGCTTAGTAGTGGATGTGCAATTCCGTCTGTTGCCCCGGCCAACTGTGCCAGCGAGAGTGTGCAACTCCTTGATTGTGCATGTGTGACAATGACACCGCGCGTGACAACTCCCGCAAGTTTGATTATGCCACTATGCCACCACACATGTGCAACTCCCGCAGTGGTGCGTGAACAACTAACTGATGAGTGTGTGCAATCCCGCTCTATGCGTAAGAAACTATGCCGACCAGGGTGTGGAACTCTGCGGCGTGTGTGCGATTATATTGACGAGGGTGTGCAACTCTGTGGTCGTACTTGTAGAATTGTGCGGGAGAGAGTGTACAACTCCGTGATCGTGCGTGTGTGACTATCCAAAAAATAGTGTGCAAATCTACTCTTGCGTGTGCGACTATGCCGATGAGAGTGTGCAACTCCACGGCCTTGTGTTAGCTACTATGCCGACGAGAGTGTGCAGCTCTGTGATCGAGCGTGTGCAACTCCCACAGTTATGCATGAGCTACTATGCTGATGAGAGTGTGTATCATGGTCGTGCGTGTGCGACTATGCTAACGAGAGTGTCCAACTCCGTGACCGCGCGTGGCCGATTATGACGACAAGAGTGTCTAACTTTGTGGCTGTAACGCCCTCGATGCGGCTATATTTCCTACGTGTTAAAGCACGACTTAGAGGCATAACCGCATTGAAAGCAATGTCGCAAGTGAGGTAATCTTCACACAACCCATGTAATACATAAGGGAAAGAGATACATAGTTGGCTTACAATCACCACTTCACACAATTACATGAATAAAGCATTACAACATCCAAATACAATCAAGGTCCGACTACGGAACCAAAATAAAAGAAGAACCCCAAATGCGACAAGGTCCCCGATCGACCCCAACTGGGCTCCACTACTGATCAACTAGAATGAAACAACACAACGGACAAAGTCTTCATCGAGCTCCTCCTGAGCTTGGTTGCGTCATCTGCACGGACTCATCGGCACCTGCAAGCTGGTTTTGGAAGTATCTGTGAGCCACGGGGACTCAGCAATCTCGCACCCTCGCGATCAAGACTATTTTAGCTTATGGGTAAGATAAAAGGTATGAGGTGGAGCTGCAGCAAGCGACTAGCATATATGGTGGCTAACATACGCAAACGAGAGCGAGAAGAGAAGGCAAAGCACGGTGGAGAAACTATGATCAAGAAGTGATCCTAAAACAACCTACGTCAAGCATAACTCCAACACCGTGTTCACTTCCCGAACTCCGCCGAAAAGAGACCATCACGGTTACACACGCGGTTGATACATTTTAATTAAGGTCAACTTCAGGTTTTCTACAACCGGACGTTAACAAATTCCCATCTGCCCATAACCGCGGGCACGACTTTCGAAAGTTCAAATCCCTGTAGGGGTGCCCCAACTTAGCCCATGACAAGCTCTCACGGTCAACGAAGGAATAGACCTCCTCCCGAGACGTTCCGATCAGGCTCGGTACCTCGATTCTTCAAGACACTTCGACAGGTTAAAACAAATCCAGCAACACCGCCCGAATGTGCCGACAAATCCCGATAGGAGCTGCACATATCTCTTTCTCAGGGCACACTCAGATTGTCTTAGGTACGGGTAGGCCAGCCCAGAGTTGCCCCTGGTGGCCACCGGCAGCTGACAGGTTGGACCAACACTCAGAGGAGCACTGGCCCGGGGGGTAAAATAATGATGACCCTCAGGAGCGCGACTCCCAAGGGAAAAGAAAAGGCTAGGTGGCAAATGGTAAAACCAATGTTGGGCATTGCTGGAAAAGCTTTAATCAAGGCGAACTATCAAGGGGTTTCCATTATAACCCAACCGCGTAAGGAACGCAACATCCGGGAACATAACACCGATATGATGAAAACTAGGGCGACAAGAGTGGAACAAAACACCAGGCATAAGGCCGAGCCTTCCATCCTTTACCAAGTGTATAGATGCATTAATTAAATAATATATATTGTGATATCCCAACAAGTAAACATGTTCCATAAAGGAACGATCTCCATGTTCCAACAAGGAATAAACTTCAATCTTCACCTGCAACTAACAACGCTATAAGAGGGGCTGAGCAACGCGGTAACATAGCCAAACAAAGGTTTGCTAGGACAAGGTGGGTTAGGGGCTTGGTTCAACAATATGGGAGGCATGATAAGCAAGTGGTAGGTATCGTAGCATAGGCATAGCAAAAGAGCGAGCAACTAAGCAAGCAAAGATAGAAGTGATTTTGAGGGTATGATCATCTTGCCTGAAATCCCGCAAGGAAGAAGAATGAGTCCATGAAGAAGACAAACGGACGTACACGAATGGTTCCTCACAAACGCGACGTTACCGGGACCAACCCGAAGAAGAAAACACCAGAAAGAAGCACAAAACATAGTAAACAACCAACTCATGAACATGGTATGATATGCGGGATGCGGTATGTGATGCATATGCAAGATTTGACAAGGAATGCATGAACCCGGCCTCAACTTGGAAATCCAAGTGTGCCACTAGAAAGGTGAGGTGAAATCGCTTGAAAACGATATAAAGATCACCGGAATCGGAGTTACGGTTTGAAAATGGCAAGCAATTCAAATATGGCACCGGTCTGCAATTTACAACAAGTAGCCATCTAAATGCAACGAGATGAACATTCTACAGCTCTCAAACATGGCAACAAAATACATGGGAGGGATCCATTCATGATGCTTAACAAAAGTCTAGCACTGAGCTACGGCCAATTCATCCATTAACAAGTTCAAACAAGCATGGCAAAAATGCAAACGGTAAACAGATCTTAGACTTAGTGAAATTAACACTTGTCTGGAATTTCAGATCAGATAGCACTCTTCGGAGTATGAAAACTATATGCTATAGGACCTGAACATGGCAAAGTAAAGCATGGCATGGAGCTACTCAAAGAGCTTAACAAAAGTTCCTTAGTGACCTTGAGCCAAAAGGGATCAGAAAATACAATTGCAAGCATGTGAACATGGCAAAAACATAATCAGATTACAGACTTAGTGAAAACTGAAGCATGCTGAAAACAGATATCAAATAGGCATGTTAACGAGCTCGATGCACTCATTACAGAGCAAGACATGACAATCTAAGCATACACCCATCAATAATACACAAAGTACAAGCTAGACATGGCAAGAACAATAACATAGCATGCACGGATCAACTACAACATCATCGGCAAAATCGCTAACTAGTAGACAATCTGCCCAGATTCACAAAGTAGCAAAAGTAGAGCTTGATTGACTCAAGTTAGGATGCTCCATAATTGCAAACAAAAGCATGGATGGATAGAGCACTACAAGATTAACAAAACATCCTTACTGATCATCCTCAAAAGAGGCACGGATCACTAGGAAACAACATGAACATATGGTCATATAAGATAAACAGGTTAAGGACTTAGTGGAAATGCAAGTCCCTGAAATCAGCATTACCAAGTGCCTCACTTAGCAAGCTTGTGCTAGTCACCACACACATCACAAACATACATGGGTTGCACCTCTGGAAAGATGGCAAAACCCTTAACAAAACATATGTAGAGCTCAAGGGCATATCATGCACACATAAATCATGGCAAAAATGACAAATATCTAAATGGAGCAGCAGATCTGACAATTATCTCAAGTAGCTCTCTTCTAATAGCATTTCGGGCATCAAGATGAACTCAAATTAAAATGATGCAATAAGATGAAATGATGTGCTCTCAGAGACGAACATTTTGATATGCTATATGCATGAATCGAAGCTACGGATGCAAAGTTACGGCATGATAAACATGGGCATATGAATCTGGTAATCTCGGGGACTTAGAGAAATTTCAGTGAGCGTCGAATAGTTAAAACGCGCACGCGTGGGATATAGTGGACACTCACCCAATGGGCTGGGCCCAGGACGGGGAAGGACGGGCAGCCCTGGCAGGCCGGCGCTGCTGGGCCGGAAGGAGCTGTGGCCCATGAGAAAACGACGGGGCCCGAGAGGGCGCTCGTCCTCTTCCTTCGGCCCGAACAGAAGAACGGCGTCCATGGCAGAGACGCGGCGGCGCATGGGAACTCCGGCGAGACTGCGAAGGCCGGGGACGCGCGGGAGGTGCCGGAAA